AAGTGAAGACAAAAAACAATATTAATGAACTCTACGTGACAAATGCAACAAGTTTCATTATCAGTGTTATCAATTATACAAAGGCAAATTGAAGTAGTAAAATAGCACAGAACTGTGGAGAGCTATTAACAGTTAATTTCACAAATAGAATGAGTTGATTAATTCCTGAACGTAATATTTCTTAATGCGCGAAGTTAAAATATGGATGTTATGCGATGATTTCAATTCGAAAGGTAATGAATTCCAAATGGCTATGCTAGTAAATAAGGTTGAGAACTTGCCGTAGTTTGTCCTTACGGCCGGCAAAAGAAGATTATTGCACTGGAAAAACCGGGTGATGTTACCATTAGTTAAGTGACGATGATCAATGCATGTAATAAAAATGTCATGCGTGATGAGTCTAAAGGCGACAATGGACATTCTATGATAAAATAATTGTCTCAATGGGAGTATGTTAAGCTGAGGAAACAACGAGCTGCAGGAGAAGTAAAATGGGCTGAAAGTCATTAATCGAACTGCTTGATTCTGAAGTCGCTGCAAACGTTCGATGTGCGTGAAATATGTGTTCGCCCAAGATGATACGCAATACGAAATATGGCTATGAATATAAGCAAAATACAAAGTACGTATGATATGAGGCGGAAAATAAGTTCGTGTCTTGATGATAACGTGAATACCAAATGCAATCTTTTTAACGAGTGATGCTGCATGTTTATGAAATTTTAGTTCGCTATCTAAGATGACGCCAAGAAACCGCGCTTCACTGGAAATGTTTATGACGGAAATGTTTATGAATGTGCGCCTCTGACGGTACCACATAAGCATAGAATGTAGGTTTGGTAAAAAGCACTCTATATAATTAAGTCTTTTAATACAGTTCTAAAAGAGCTTATCTGGGGGACGCATAATACCAAGTTACACTGGGCACATTTGTGAAACATGTGCTTAAAGCACACTGAGCCTCGAGGTGGTGCTACAACAGTGTGAAACAGAAATCGCTTTGGAGGGCTCCCATATAAAAATTAAATTGCTCATAACAGAAATCGCTTTGGAGGGCTCCCATATAAAAATTAAATTGCTCGTATGTCACTAAAACAAGTACTCAATTCAAACTCATGAATGCACTGCAAAACTAATTTGCTTCACCGCAGTGCAGTAGTGTTATGCAAAACAGCTAAACTTCACGAGCAATGGGCACTAAGCATAGTTTATTACAAAACGAGCGCAAGCGTCATCCTCATCCAGTCACAAACGGACACCGAGGTGTCTAATTAGCAGCATTTCAGATCAAACTATTTCTGACATTGCTACACCTAATATATTTACAGGAAGTAAAGTAACAGTTCATAAATGCGATAGCACTATGCAACAGTTAATTGCAGATGTCGCTTTATTTCTTCCATTTACCACGCAAACGCTAGCAAAATCACGCTTGATTTGAGAACTGGGTAGAAAACTCTTTTGGAATAATAAATACAACTTAAACAGAGCACCTAATTAAGTGGTCTAAAGGTTGAACACACACGGAACGTGCTACACGACTACGAGTTGCTCACGAAATCTGCTTTGAACTCCAGAGCTCGCTGCTATAGTTAACGTCAAAAAACACACACATACAATGGACGTACACAATCACTTACAACAGTTAACCAATGGGCAACACGATTCATCCAAACCGGCCGTGACTGTAGAAGTTCGAGCTGCTGATTCATCAACACTCGCGAGGTAACACACCACACACACATAAAATGCACAACGGGCTTACTTGCTTGCTTGCTTGTTCGTTGATTTATGGCTCCCACGGGGATTGGGCATCGAGTGTTCTGTAGACAAAACCGCTTTCCTCGCATCCTCACATAACTCGCAGCACTCGAATCGACCAACACCGCAAACAGAAAGGTTTGTCGCATGCTGCGATTGCACTACCTCTTCTCTCGTCCCGACGAAAGCGTTGGAAGCTAAGCAGGAAGGGGGGGGGGGGGGGCAGGGCAAAGAAACTACCGCGCCTCGTGACCTTGAGCGTTTTTTTTTTCTTCGAATGCGCGGCTTTTCAGTGTGATCGCGACGCGTGGACAAGTAGCAGCCCCCCGCGGCTATCTCGGTAACTTGATTTCTCGCTCGCAGACACACAGAAGATTTTTCGCTCACTACCAACGGGGCTGACGCCGGCGGCGGGTTTTCTGCGTCACGAGCTCTTTAACGCTATCGCGTTAACAACCACAACCACGACCAGAGAACACCAGTCCACCACCTCGTAGCACTTGAACGTGGGAATTCCTTGGTACTCCAAGGCGCTAGGTTTCCTTGGTAGCACAGGCTAGCCATCATGAATAGTTCTCGTACTGCTAACATTGGGCGATGTTTTGGTGGCTTTTTAGTCTCGTGCGTTTTCTTCTCGTGTTGTTGATGGTGACAATAGTTTTTCCTCCATAACATGAACTCCCAAATTGAAATAGGCTACAAAGCGTGTGGCAGTACAAGACAAAAACTAAAAGCTATAACTATAAATAAGAAAAAAAGTACATCAATCGCAGCATGATAGAGACGTGTGTTAACTTAAAATATGCCACCTTTAATAATGTTTACTAAGCTTTCGATAAGCATTAAACATTTGCGTATGGATAAATAAAATATCCCATCGTATATTTCGCTACGAATTCAGCGCAATACATCGCAGCGTAAAATTTTTGAAAAAAAAAGAAACTATATCTTTAAATGTAATCAAGTCGCTATGTGTTCCATTTTTATTTCTTGTAATTCCTTTAGTTTAAATAATCTGAGGAGCTTTGAAATGTGTCATTCGATGATGCGGGCACGCATTTATATATAACATTGGTTTGTAACTAGCTTTTAACTAACCGAAATTGTATTCAGCTTAATGATTAGATTGAGAAAGTGCGGCTGTTGTAACGGTAGAAAGCTGTCTTCAGGCAACATAAACCGGTCATAATATTGACTAATTTATTTATAAATAACTAGCAATACCTTACAGGCTATTTGAAATGCATTGAGTGAGGATATGTGCTGTTATTACGGCACATATAATTTAGGCATTAATTGAATATCCCGCTGCGGACAGTTGGTGAAAGAGATCCGGCAAAACCTTATCTTTCACATATAAATGAAATGTTGCGACTACCAGAATTGTTTGTAATGAAAGCTTCTTGGAACAGCAAAACATTTTTACAATGAAGTTTGCTTCACAAGCACCATATTGCATTTTGGAGGGGGCAGGGGAAGGGGGGGGAGCGAACAGGCACACTATAGTAAGCATTGCTGCCGTGACTACGCGAGATGCAAGAGCAGGGTGCATATTCTGCGGAAGAGCAAAGCTTGGCGTTGTTTTCAAAGAAATTGTGTGAAAAGAACTTTCCGAGACCCCAGCCGTATCACGTGTTTACTCCCGTACTACAAGCACCGGTTAGCAATTTCTTTATCTCGCTTGTTTGCCGGATAAATGATGCGTCATGTTAGTTAGTGTTGGCTTCACGAACGCTAATGTTTCCCATTATTGGCTGAATAATGGCAGATTTTGAATAGTCTTGCCTGGCCGTGCGTCATGGCGAGGGAGGACCAATGTCGAGCAGTGCAGGATATACACTGTAAAGCAGTAATATTGCCTTGGATTTCACTCGTTCCGAGTCAAACGACGTTCTCGAATACGCATACAGTAAAACGTAATATATAACGAACTATTGTATAACAGTGTTTCCAATATGACGGGGTTAGGCAATTTTTGCTACTTCATGTTCACAGAATGCCATAAATTTTGAACGTGAATATAATGAAGCGTGTTTGTCCGTAATTAAATTAGACCGAAGTTTCAGTGTTGCTATTGAGGCGATAAAATGGAACATGTACCAGAGCCAATCGTTATAAGTAGCTCAGTTGCAAGCCGGTTCGGCATAGGATTAACTAACACTAGCACAGTGCGTTAAACCCGCATTTATCCCGGGTTCACGTGTCACGTTTGCTCTTTGTGGAGAGCTCTGCTTCGCCAGCTCAGTAAAAAACAATGCCATGGTCACAGGATCTCCTGTTCAAGAAAACTGATTTCGCAACGTTGAAATTGTTTTTTTTTTATTTTGTGCCACCGTATTAGTCAAACTGTGTTTTACCATTTTCTGTGCTTAAGAAGAAGCCTCTAGTAACTATGTTTTGCTTGAAGGATATAATTTGAATTTAACGAAGTTTTGATACGATGAATTGCTGATTTTACCGACTTTGTTATGTCGAGGTTATATGCATAAAGACACAACCTACGTTGGTTCTAGCTAACCCACTTTTTTTTTTTCTTGTGCCTCATTTGCTCACCGCCCGGCAAAGCATGCAAAATCACAGGAGGTTTTATGCCAAAATTTGTTGTATAAGCCACTGAAAATGACCTCGAAGACTGTGCGACATCCGCCTTCATCTTATCTTTCTGACCTCAGCTGAATTTGGACGTTTAATCCTCGATCGCTATTCAATAACAGCGGCTGCCGACGTTCGTTCTATACCAATTTCCGCCGCGCCTTTACCTCTTGTTTGTTTTTTTTGTTTTTGTTCTCCTGTTTGCTCTTGCGCATTTTCCTTCGATGCGAAGATTGTCGAACAGCTTGCCAACCTCGTTCGTCCCTAGAAGAAGTGATTATTCTTCGCTTGAGTTGCGAATTTGCTTCTCATACAAGCAAACGCCAGCTCCTCCCTTCCACGTTGCTCAGTCGCGGACGCGAGGCGCAGCTTCAGAAAAAGAGATAGAGAAAAAAAAAGAAAGCACAATCTCTGATTTCAAAACACGTCTGCCTCACTTGTGAACTGCGTCTGCATGAAGGCGCGTCGTTAAAGGGAGGGGATCGGCTCACTTTTCACGTTTAGCGGAGAATCTTTGACTGACGCAACCCCTTTACAAGGGAGAAAGGGACATTGGTCAACTTGCAGGACGGGGATGGGCTTGGTACTTAACTTCGTGACATGCACCACGGGGCCGAGCAGTGCCTAATAACGTTCTTCGTTCGCAGCGGGTTCTCGGAGCGGTGGCGAGTCGAACCGCTTGCGGGACCAGTACGCGTCGCGCAAAGAGCAGGCCAAGAGCGTCGACTACAGCCCGTCCAGCCCGCAGCTGCAGGCGTCCAGCCGCTCCAAGAGCTCGGACAACGTGTTCGAGGAGGCGTCGGGCGGCGGCGCGCGCGGAGACCTGGCCGCGCTGAGCCTCGACTCGAACACGCTCAAACGAATGCTCGACCCGCTTCCTCCATCCTCTTCCTCCTCGCCCGACCAGCAGCAGCCGCCGCCGGCACAGCAGCAGCACATGCACCAGGTGATGATGAGGGCCTCGACCTGTATTGGGAGATAGATAGATAGATAGATAGATAGATAGATAGATAGATAGATAGATAGATAGATAGATAGATAGATAGATAGATAGATAGATAGATAGATAGATAGATAGATAGATAGATAGATAGATAGAGAGATGGAGAGATGGAGAGATGGAGAGATGGAGAGATGGAGAGATGGAGAGATGGAGAGATGGAGAGATGGAGAGATGGAGAGATGGATAGATGGATAGATAGATACGCTCAAAGTCGCTGAAGTTCGCTAAGAAATGCTTCGCATTTATTAACAGCTGATGTAGGCCATTGTTGTCGTGTACTGGTTTAATGGCGCAATAATTTTTACCAGTACGTCGACGCCGTCTAACAACGTAGGGAGTTGGAAAGTCTCAGCAGTACACATAGTAGTGTTTTTTTTTTTCTTGCGGGTAGTCAGCGTGCAGTGCAAGGATGCAAAGACGTAGACAGAGACAGGATACAACGACATCACAGACGCCTATGTTGTACGTATCCGTGTGCTCGTATTTATGTCATTGCGCTGCACTGTGACGATCGGTAGCCACCATCCAGCCCGACAACGAAACATTGTCTAGAATTTTAACAGCGTAGATATTTAAGCTTGAGGTTGCACGGGTGGTGCGCACAACAAACTCACTGCGCGTTGCCTCAGCAGGCACGGTGCCAAGCAACTCTTCGCATAGCATAGTCATGCATACTATAGTAAAGCAAGGGTGTGGCGCAGGAAAGTGCGGGTGAGGATGAAAGAAGCAAGGAGTAAGAATGGGTTGGAAAAGAAAAGTGAGGATAAGGAGGGGGAAGAGAAGTAGAGACCGCATCACATAGCATAGCCATGAATAGTATAGCATAGCAATGTGCTAGAAAGTGAAGCGATGGGGAAAAGGAGTGAATGGAGGAGGGGGTGAGGGTAAGGGCATATCAATGTACGATGCTGCGTATCAAGAGGTGGTATGCATATAGTTTCCTAAAATAACTGGTGGGTACTCTGGCGCTGCGATCGTTCAGCGACCATGGTGATGATGGGTAGTACACGGAATTTGCCTAGTCTTCGTACTTGCGGGAGGCGAATCGCACTCGTTGTTTTGTTTATTGCTGTGTTTCGGTTTTGGTTTCGAAGGAAAGAATGAAGCTTTCTGAACTTCGTGACCCGATTTAGAAATTGTAAGGCTAAAAGCATAAGGTGGTGAAGTGCGACCGCTGAACATTTGCTGATTTCTGTTTCGTGAGAAATCAGCTTCAAGCCACGCGAACACACGGAGACAGAAGTACGAAGACTGGACAAATCCGTGTACTACCCATCATTCCCATTCTCGCTGAAGCGCCGTGCGTTGTAGCTCCCATAAACACTTGCGCCAGAGTTAAATCTATAGTGTATACTTGGGAAACTGTATGGTGGTAGATAGGTAAGCGAGAAGTTGAGGGAAAGGAAAAAAAGAGAGAGTAAATCTTTGCATATATCCGCGTGTAACACAGCATAGCAAGGGGTTGCAAGTCAAGTGAGGTTGAAGAAGAGGGAAGCCACCGGCTCCGCTGTTTTCCTGTCTTCGCTCCTGTATAGTGCACAGCTGTCACGATGTTATTATTATTGTCCCTTACTGGCTTCGCCTTTGGCGCAGCAACAGCAGCACCGGCGGTCGGTTCCCTCGGTGACACACGGCTCGACGACACCGCGACTCCGCGACCGCGAGCACCGCTCCGAGTCGGGAGGGAGGCGGAGCCTGGAGAGGAGCGTGGGCCTGGACCTGGCCGACGGGTCTCCGCCGTCGGACCACTTCCTGTACGACAACCTGTGCTACGCCACCACGCCGCCCAGCTCGAGCAACGACAGCGGCTCCGAAGATGGGGATGCCGCTGCCGGTGTCTCGGGAGGCGCCGTCGCCTCGGGCCTCGCCACCCCGAGGAGGCAGGCTTCGCACGAGGAGTCGCCCACGAGCAAGCTGCTCATGGAGTACGAGACGCACCTCAGGAACGCGCTGGCGCGCGGGATGGACGCAGAGAGCTGTAGTCTACACACGTTCGAGGCGCTGCTCACGCAAAGCATGGAGAACGTCGGTGAGTGTTTTGCTTTTTACGAACCTTCACTTTTCGCTTGTTTGTTTGTTTGTTTTTCTTTCGCCTCCATGGCCATCTCCCTGCCGTACCTTTCATTGCACCCACCTCGGAATGATGTAACAGTACCCGTTAACGTTGTAACCTGTATAAAAACGCGAGCAGCCACTCCACTTGTGCACGGAAGCGCCAGCATGCCCATGTGCGCTCACTATATTTCGACGCCCTGATCCAGTTCTTTATTTTTTTCATCTTTTATCGAGTGTCAAGATATCTTCGGCGCGGTTTTGTCGCGAGCGATTATCGGCAGTGAACATTTTCGTCAATTTATTTTGTAAATTATTTTCGGCCGTTCGTGAGATCCTCTCCAATAGGGGGGTTGGGGGGCATATCATTTTTGCAAACATGGGCGTTGCCAGAGATATATTTTTCGGGAGTGGTGTGTTCGAATAACCATCGTGTTTGTGCTTGTGTTTGTATATGTGTGTGCGTATTAAACGCGTGGAAACTTTCAAAAATTTCAAGGAGTAGTATTCAATCCCTCCCTCCTCGCCTCCGCCAAACCTTTTGCCTAATTATAGCAATGTTTTCGAAGTCAGGTATAAGCTTATGTCAAATGAGTTGTCACCTTGAGGTGTACATTACAATATCAAAGTTGGATGTGGAGGGGCGCCAATATTTGAACTCAACTACTGAATCCGCCGACTGGCCGTGATATATCACGACCAGTAGACCAGCTTCCCTCGCTTTGGTAACCGCTGAACTTTTCGTGTCTGGATTACATCTCCAAGTAGTTTGTTCCTCCTTTTTAAACGCTTGCGAATCTCTATAGAGTTCATGCTCCGATGCACCTCAAAGGTTGGAAGCGATTGTAGGAGCCGAAAGACGCATCAACGCCGCCGTCGTTTCCAACGCGACTTGCGTGGCGAGTGAATTTGCGGTGGAAATCCGCAAGCAGCAAGAACGTTTGTAAAAAAATGAACGGTGACATCCATCCACCAGCTTCTGCGCGTGTTTCTCCACGTGTTCCACCATCATCTCCTGTGAGATGCAAGAAATGTGCATGACATCCCCCCCCCCCCCCGAAGGTACACTGCCGAAGCAGCGACGTCTGCCAACGGGAACCTTTCATCTCATGTAACAATACGAGGTGCTCCCTGTCTCCACTAGAGAGGTCTGTAGTTCGGCAACTCTCTGCTGCTTGGCACTTCCCTTCCGCATGCTTCGCTTAATGTCGACTCCCGAGGTACGTAAGATCTGGCGAATTTTTATAGTCTTTAAACCCATTCCGAACAAGGTCATTCTTATACCTGTTTCATTGTGGCATATCAAGCTTACTTTATGCGATAGCACAGCCAATCAATTATGTGTTTTTTTTGCGTTAGATGACCAAAATTTTCGCAACTCTTTCAAACGATTACAAGCGGTGACGTCTTTCAGTGTTTCTTTTTTCCTTCTTTGCGCTCCCTTTCGAATCATCCGCACTAATATCTCTTCTTTACTACCGATACCACAACGGCTTTCTAATTTCTAATATTGGTGTTGAACGAATAAATTTTGGTGAAATAAGGTGTCACCAGAGTTCGTTTAGTTCGCTGTAACCGAGAGTTAGCTGTACCAGAGTTCGTTAAAACGAGGTTCAGCTGTACTGCTATATTAGCCGCCTGTACATCTAACGGACCCGCTTGCCTCTCGCATCCACAATTTTTTTTTCAAACAGGGTTGCAAATGCTTCGTTCCTTCGAAACCACACGCTGACCATGCGAATGCTTTCTTCTAATCTCAAGCGCTTATGGAATGCGGGGCATTCTCTTACACCGGCAAACATCTCGGCATTTCTTCACGATGCGCCGAGTCGGTTTTCGAACTTTTGTCCGCAGTAGGCACATTCCGCGTCCTCGATGCGAACATGTGCTCCTGCGCGTTGGCTTCGTCCCGCAGCACGCTCTGCATCGTGTAAGCGTGGCAGTATCGCCCTTTCAGGTGTTGAAGCAGTTTCTTTCATAACTTCGCATTTTTGCTATTCGTATGTGTGTCTTGTGCCTCTAGTTTGCTATCTCTGGTTTGTTTATGTCGTTTTATTCTGTAAACCTATCTGGGATTGTCTGCGTGTATAGTTGCAGATTTAAGGTGTGCTTAGCTCCCAGTTTTCTTGACTTTGGGTCAGCTTTTGGCTGCAGGTATAACGAATATGCTGAAACCATGACGATGATGGGGATGATGATGATGATGATGATGATGATGATGATATGATGATGATGATGATGATTTATTTATCGGCGTTTCCGCTGAAGTGTGGGGCGACCTGCTCTGTCAATAGCGCACGGTTTAGTAAGCGCTCGTCGAACGACTGTTGTGTCCCTCACTTCCTTACACAACGAAAGTTCGTATGTTCGACCTCCGTTAATTCAGAAGATCGGAGCGATTCAGACGTGGTTCTATAGTTCCGGCGGGCAAGTGCGTACGTTTAACAACATCAAACTCTCTTTAATGCGCTCGTATTACGCTTAACTCGGCAAACACGGGTGTATAGTCGGAGCGTGGCCACGCGTAACAAATGCGCGACACGCAAGGAGCGAAATAGGCGTTCGCGAACGACTGCAACTACCGCGGGCTTTCAGAAAAGCGTAACTGGCGTCCGTGATCCTTGCGCAATCGTGTTATCGCTGACAAAGGCTTCGACAGCTGCGGCAAGTTTGTTGCATTTTCGTCTTTACTCGGCCACACGCGAACTGCGTGGGCGGGCGCTATATAATCTATATGATCGCGTCGACAATGACCGGGATCAAAGCTGCTTCTCAAAAGCAGCCTTCGAATATAATATATATATAATATATATATAATATATATATATATATATATATATATATATTATATATAATATATATATAATATATATATATATATATATATACTCGGAGTTAGGAAGGGGAGCCAGTGCAAGAAGGAGGAGCAGCGTTAAGCGAAGCACACTACGTAACGGCGCATCGCATTGTAATGCGAATGCGTTGTAAGCGACCGCATAATACAAAAGAAACTCTAGTGTTTTATCGGTGGATCTGTACGATTAGTCATTTCTTCATGAATATGGCGACGCATTGCGACGCCCAGGCTGCCGCATTGCGAGCTTCAGCGCCGCCTTAAGGTTGTTCATCCGTGTGCCTTTAAATCGTGCTCTGCCACACTATGAAGCTTGAGCAGTGAAGCACACTTTTGCGTGGTTCTTTCGAGGCAATAGTGTGCACGTCACCACTTACAACGTCCTGACGTATTCAACACTTTTATTCTACACAAAAAAATCACCATCGCGTCTGCGCAGTTAAAATATTAGAAGCTGGAAAAAAATAGAAACAAAAGGGACCGTGAACACAATATTTCATCATGCTCAGCTGAGCATGATGGAATGGAACTGAGCATCATATTCAGTGCTCAGCTGCACGTGCAATCGAGCTATTCTAGCTTTTTTGAGCTTCGAATTTAAATATGACGCAGCGGCTGAAATTTGGCAGAGAACGATGGCTCCGCACCAAACAAGCACATGACGCCACGCACGCACAGGCAAAATGTCGGTCAGCAGCATATATATATATATATATATATATATATATATATATATATATTATATATATATATATATTATATATATATATATATATATATATATATATATATATATATATATTGTGGGTATTTAGTATACCAATCCTCTTCATCTGTACATTATCATCATTATCATGTATTGCTCATGCATCCTCATCGTTGTCACGTATCATCATCATCTTGGTTCGTGCATCTCCGCTGTCGGCTGCCGGTTCCTCGGGCCCAATAAAGGTCTTCCAAACCAAGACTTCATACGTGGTGGAGCGTGCTGTTAGATCCCTCGTCATCCTTTCGACCACTCTACCCCCTGGAGCTACGTTCAGGTCGCCGCTTGGGCCAGGTGTCCGGAAATATGTCGCACCAAGAAGAGGTCGGTGCTGCAACCGTTCCCACTCCGCCACCGCGTGCCGCGCCTTTTCACGTCATTAACAGCCCCCAGCGTGAGCCCCATCCCTTCGCCGGTATGCGCGGGGAAGATGTGGAGGAATGGCTGGACGATTTCGAACGTGTCGGCGCTGCTAACCGGTGGGATAACACCTACAAACTCGCTTACGTGTCATTCTACCTCACGGGTGTCGCGAAGACGTGGTTCCTCAACCACTACATCGACATCCCCGACTGGTCCGCCTTCAAAGATCAGCTTCGGCATGTCTTTGGCACACCGACTGTTCGTTCGGCTCTCGCAAAGAAAGCTCTCGCGGCTCGGAAACAGCACATCGGCGAGTCGTATACATCCTACATCGAGGATGTCCTTTCACTTTGCCGCCGGGTTGAAACCCCAATGACAGAGTCAGACAAGGTACGCCAGCTTCTTAAGGGGATTGCACCCGTCGCATTCAATGCCCTTGCAATCCAGAATCCCGTACTGTTGCTGACGTTGCGACAACCCTGTCAGCGCCTCGAAGAAACTCGAGTCTATGCGCCTACAACCGGACAGTGACGCGGCCCGTATTACGGCAGATCCAAACCTACGAGACACAATAAGGGTGATTATACGCGAAGAATTAGAATCAATGGGATTCACACTACCTTCAGTGTGTCCCATGCAGTCTCTTCAACGTCATTGCGGGATGTCATCAGGGAGGAGCTCACGTCCATGACCCACATGGCCCACCTGCAGCCCACTGTCGCTCGTACTCTCCCATCGTTGTCGCATGCCGTCGCCGCACCATCAGGCACCGTCAGCTCGACGCCGCCGCCACCAACGTACGCGTCGGTTGCTGCCGCACCTCCCAGAAGCTTTCCCACGAGCTTTCCATCACCACCGCCTGAGCCATCATCTGTCCCTCTCACTGCTCTCTCTCCCGGTGCATCTAACACAAGCTACTACCCTTCTTATCGATCGACTCGCCCTACGTGCTATTATTGTGGCTATCGTGGTCACATTTCACGCTTTTGCCGCA